AAGAGGCTGGGTATGGTGGCTCAATGCCTGTAATCTCAGCACTTTAGGAAGCTGAGGTGGGAGAATCACTTGAGGCCAGGCGTTCAAGACCAGCCTGGGCAACATAGCAAGACCCTGGCCCTACCAAAAAAAAACTTTTCTTAAATGAACAAGCCAGGAAAAAAAAACAGCAAAATATATGAATATGCTATTCACAGAAGAAGAAAACAGGCTTTTATAGAGCCAAACATGAGAAAAGATGTTCCAGCCTCACTGATGATCAAAGAAATGCAAATAAAAGCAACAATGAGATATAATTTTTCAGATATCAGATTGGCAGAGATGACAAAGATTCATAATACCTATGTTGGCAAGGGTTTAGGGAAGCAAGCAGTCTCACACTGGGGTGTGAGTGTACACTAGCTTTGTACATGTGTAGGGTAGTTTAATCCTGCTTGTTAAAACTCTAAATGTTCATACTCTTAATTCCAGAAGTTCCTTTCTTAGCAACTTATTTTTTCTTTTTAAATGCATTTTTTTAAAATGCATTTTTCTTTTTAAAAATACATTTATTTATTTTTTTAACAAAGTTCAGCTTTCTGATCCAGACAACTTATTTTTTATATATACCTGCACAAGTGAGCAAAATGTATGTATTATTGTGATACCATATCAAAGTGGCAACAACTCAAATGTCCAATCGTAGAGAATTTGTTATGATACAGCTGTGACGTGAAATACAGTACAGTAAATGAAAGGAATGAGGAACCAGTCTTCTCCTGTGAAAAGGTGTTCACAACGAACTGTAGACTGAAAAAAAGTACATTTAACACAGAATCTAGACTCTTAGTTCCCTTTCAATGAGAAAAATTTTCCGATTCAGTAATACTGCAATTCACTGATGACCATCGTTAATGATCACAGCTAAGTCAGGACTGTTTGTGGTATGTGGAACAAGGGTTTTTTCTAGCAGTAGAGCTTCATCAGACCATGTTATTGGGAGACGTTTCTGGTGTCATGTATATGGCTACAGGCCCCACTTCTATGTAGTTAAAGACTTCACAGAAGGGCAGGTGTGGTAGCTCATGCCTGTAATCTCAGCACTTTGGGAGGCCGAGACAGGTGGATTGCTTGAACTCAGGGGTTTGAGACCAGGCTGGGCAACATGGTGAAATCCCGTCTCTACCAAAAATACAAAAATTAGCGGGGCTTGGTGACAGATGCCTGTAGTCCAGCTACTCAGGAGGCTGAGGCAGAAGGATCGCTTGAACCTGGAAGGTGGAGGTTGCAGGGAGCCGAGATAGCACCACTGCACTCCAGCCTGGGCGACAGGGTGAGACCCTGTCTCAAAAATGAAAAGCAAACAAAACAAAACAAACAAAAACTTCATAGAGGCGAGGACAAGGAGCACTAAAGAGTCATTAGCAAAATGATGAGTGAGTTCTCTTCTTAGGTCTGTTAGGACAGAAAAAAGTAGGGGTGCCAGAATTCATTGATCCATTCATCAAATGTTGCTGAGCAGCTGCTGTGAGTCAGGCACTATGGTAGGTGCTGGATGTATGTAAACAAATAACTACTCAAAATATTACAGGGAATGTGGTGATAGGAGACAGCAACTCCCACAGGCCGCCGTAAGGATAAAGGAGGAACCATTGGCAGCACTAAAATAGGAGCTCCGAAAGAGCAGGGACTTTGTTTTGTCCATGACGTTTTAGAACAGTGCTTGGCACATAGTAGTGTTTGATGTATGAAATTTGCTAAACGAATGAACGAATGAATTCATGGAGTCAGGGTCCCAACAGATAACAGAAGATCCACTTGCAAATTATGCCCGGGATAATTTGAGGAGGAGCTCCTTATAGGGAGACGGAGTTACGTGTGGGCTACAGGAGAATCACAGGAACCATGCAGGAACCCAGGCTGGTGGAGAGACATTGTCACAACCTCTAGGCTGGCAGGGACGAGAGGATTGAGGTCACTGGAACTGGGAGGGAACCACACTCTCCCTCCCTCTGATCTCCTGCCAAATCTACCCAGGAATCATGGGGCAGAGAACCCAAAACAGTCCACCCAGGTTGCCTAGAGCGTATCTCAGGGTGTCTCTCACAGACTCTGATACCTTACAATGGTATCGGGCACCAAACTCCATGAAGAATCCTGTGAGATAAGGAGTGTCATCCCCATTTTACAGCTGAAAACTGTCAAAATGTGAAAACATTTTGCAGACGAAACTGAGATTAGTTAGGTAACCTACCCGAGGTTATAATCAGTAAGACGCTATTAGCTACTGTTCTAAGAAATGCCATCATACTGGTGGAGATTTAATCCCAGGATGGGACACAGTGACGGTAAAGATAGCAGTGTGGCCTGATGGCTGAGAGCCTCATTTTTTGAGTCCATATAATGACTGGATGGTTGGAAGGGATGGGGCAAACTACTTCTCTGGGTCTCAGTTTCTCCATCCGTAAAATGAGATGATACCCAACTTTTGGGAATTTTTGTGAGGATTAAATGAGGCAATGATTATAGAATGTCTGATACTTGGTCGACTCTACTAAATAATAGGTGATATCAGAAGATGACCTTAACTCTGTCTGGCTGGGCTCAGTGACTCATGCCTGTAATCTCAGCAATTTGGGAGGCTGAGGCCTGAGGATCACTTTAGTCCAGGAGTTTGAGACCAGCTTGGGCAATATAGTAAGACCTCGTCTATACAAAAAAATTTTTAAATTAGGTGGAGGATCACTTGAGTTTGGGAGGTCAAGGCTGCAATAAGTCATGATCACACCACTGTATTCCCATCCTACCTGGGTGACAGAGCGACATCCTGCCTAAAAAAAAAAAAAGAAGCCGGGCGTGGTGGCTCACGCCTGTAATCCCAGCACTTTGGGAGGCCGAGGCGGGTGGATCACGAGGTCAGGAGATCGAGACCATCCTGGCTAACACGGTGAAACCCCGTCTCTACTAAAAATACAAAAAAAATTGGCCAGGCGTGGTGGCGGGCGCCTGTAGTCCCAGCTACTCGGGAGGCTGAGGCAGGAGAATGGCATGAACCCGGGAGGCGGAGCTTGCAGTGAGCTGAGATCCGGCCACTGCACTCCAGCCTGGGTGACAGAGCGAGACTCGGTCTCAAAAAAAAAAAAAAAAAAAAGACCTTAACTCACATAAACCATGCAAGTGTTAAGCCTTTGGAAATATGCCAGAATGTGAAATGTGTTCCCTCTTGGGTGGGGGAGTATGGTTGTTCAATTTTTGTTAACTACTTTATACTTGTATTTTTCCATTTTTGACCATGAACACGTGACTTTGGGAGTCAGGAAAGCAAGGTGCTACCTCTCCTCCTTCCTTTCCTTTTATGAGGGCATCCCATGTCCCTGCCTCTGTTTTCTGTGTTGGGCCCTAGGCCTCTGGGCTCCGGTCCGAGTGGCCAGGGTGGCCAGCGTCTGCAGCAGTGGAAGATCTTGTACTCCATGTAGGATTCCGTGACTTGAGTCCGCTCTTCCTGCAAACACCACCTCCCCGCTGAGGGCGGGGAGAATGTGGAGAGAGCCTGAGGCAACAATTTGGATCCTCATAACTTTCAGACTTTGCTCCTAGTTTGACTTGTTTTCCAACTGGAGTTCTAATGGCTCAGGCTCCTGGAGCAGACTCTCCTTGCTATGAGATGATTGGTTATGTCAATATTCATGATAATCCTGTAAAATGAGTATCATGCACATTTTATAGGTAAGAGAACCGAGGCTCAAAGTAATTATATCAGTTTGGCTAAAATTGTCAGGGCGCGATGACTCACACCTGTAATCCCAGCACTTTGGGAGGCTGAGGCAGGTGGATCACTTGAGGTCAGGAGTTCGAGACCAACCTGGCCAACATAGCAAAACCCTGTCTCTGCTAAAAACACAAAAATTACCTGGGTGTGGTGGTGAGCCCCTGTAATCCCAGCTACATGGGAGGCTGAGGAAGGAGAATCACTTGAACCCGGGAGGCAGAGCTTGCAGTGTGTCGAGATTGTGCCACTGCACTCCAGCCTGGGCGACAGAGCAAGACTCTGTCTCCAAAAAAAAAAAAAAAATTGGCTAAAATCCTACATTTGGTAATTGACAGAGCTGTGGCCAATTTGAGTCCTTTTGCCTTCAAATGCTGTACTTTCTGAAGCCTTCAGTATGTTTTTCAGAGACAAAAAGTTTTAATGTTCTAATTATAAAAGCAATACCTGATTATAATTGGACAATATGTAAAGTAGGAAAATCACTTTCATGTCATCGTAGCCAGTGTCCGTACTGCCTGCAGGAGCTTGTATCTTGGTATTTTTCCAACATTATAATGCAAGCCTTGTTCCACAGTATCAGGAATTCTTTGAAGCTTTATATTCAATGGCTCCCTAATAATCCCTCAGCTGGATGTGCCATCATTTACTTAAACAATTCCCTATTGTAGGACCTTCCAGTTGTCTCCAATTCTTTACTGTCAGCAGCGTGCTGCAAAGAACATCGTTTTATTCAGAAAGCTTTTTCTGTTTGTCCCGTTTCCTTAAGATAGCTTCCCAGAAGTGGAATTACTGGTTCAAAGGTTATTAGCATTTTTTTTTTTTTTTGAGATGAAGTCTAGCTCTGTCACCCAGTCTAGAGTGCAATGGTGCGATCTCTGCTCACTGCAAGCTCCGCCTCCCGGGTTCAAGCAATTCTTCTGCCTCAGCCTCCCGAGTAGCTGGGACTACAGGTGCCCGCCACCACACCCGGCTAGTTTTTGTATTTTTAGTAGAGACGGGGTTTCACCATGTTGGCCAAGATGGTCTCTATCTCTTGACCTAGTGATCTCCCTGCCTCGGCCTCCCAAAGTGCTGGGATTACAGGTGTGAGCCACCGTGCCTGGCCGCTATTGGCATTTTAACCCTCTTCATCCATCTTGCCAAATTATTCCCCCACAGGGTGTCACTGGCTACTTTTCCTGCCAGCAGCATGTGACAGTATTTTGAGGACAGCTTCCTACTCTAACCAGCTCTTTTTCTTCTCTCTCCAAAGCCTCATAAGAAGAATGGCTCAGAGCGTGGTGGAAGTCATGGAGGACTCAAAGGGGAAGGCCCAGGAGCACCTCCTGGCAAATGGAGGTAGGTGGGGCGGCCCTCTGACGTGGAGCGCAATCTCCCAGCTCCGTCTAGACCAGAGTCGCCCTCGCTGTGGCCACACAGCAATCATCAAGACGGCCCAGGCCTCAGTGGATGCTCTGGATTGACAGGTTGGGCAGAGGCTCTGCACTCACTTTTATTTATTTATATCATTATTATTTTGAGACAGTCTCCCTCTGTTGCCCAGGCTAGAGTGTGGTGCAATCTTGGCTCACTGCAACCTCCGCCCCCCGGGTTCAAGCGATTCTCCTGTCTTAGCCTCTTGAGTAGCTGGGACTACAGGCACCCGCTGCCACGCCTGGCTAATTTTTGTATTTGTAGTAGAGACAGAGTTTCACCATGTTGGCCAGGCTGGTCTCAAATTCCCAACCTCAAGTGATCTGCCCACCTTGGCCTCCCAAAGTACTGTGATTACAGGCATGAACTACCATACCCGGCCAATTTTTATGATGATTATTTTCTGAGACGTGGTATTGCCCAGGCTGGAGTGCAGTGGTGTGATCATAGCTCAATGCAGTCTCAACCTCTCAGGCTCAAGGGGTCCTCCTACCTCAGCCTCTTGCTCACCACCACACCTGGCTATATATATATACACATATATATATATGTATGTGTATATATATATATATATATTTTTTTTTTTTTTTGAGATGGAGTTTCGCTCTTGTTGCCCAGGCTGGAGCGCAGTGGCACGATCTTGGTTCACAGCAACCTCCGCCTCCCGGGTTCAAGCGATTCTCCCGCCTCAGCCTCCCGAGTAGCTGGGATTACAGGCATACGCCACCATGTCTGGCTAGTTTTGTATTTTTAGTAGAGACAGGTTTTCTCCATGTTGGTCAGGCTGGTCTCGAACTCCCGACCTCAGGTGATCCGCCTGCTCCAGTCTCCCAAAGTGCTGGGATGACAGGAGTGAGCCACCGTGCCCAGCCACGCCTGGCTAATATTTTTTATTTTTTGTAGAGATGGGGTCTCGCAATGTTGCCCACGCCAGTCTTAAACTCCTGGGCTCAAGCAATCCTCCTGCCTTGGCCTCCCAAAGTGCTGGGATTCCAGGTGTGAGCCACTGTTCCTGGCTGGTGCACTGCTTTTAGCTCATCAGCACTGCTAGGTTTGGAAGTTATGCCCCTTCCTAAGTTCACAGCTCTGCAGTTCCGCCTCTACTCTCACCAGCTGGTGAACTCCTCAGAGTGTTGCAAATGAACACAGGGTCGGGGGGCTCAGTCCGGCTCCTACTGTTTGCCCCTCCACCCACTCCAGAGCCACCACTCTCCCGACCTGGGCAATTCTGCCTCCTCACCTCACCCTCACCGATTTATCCCTTTGCCCAAACCAGATATGAAAAATGCCTTCCTGTGCTGAGGAAGGCCTCCAGCCAGTCTTCAATTGCCATCCAGTAAATAAGAACAGAGGCTGTGCCCTGAAGGCTCCCTGCAGTGCAGTCACGTTGGGAATGTCTGTCTTCCCCGTGGTGATAGGAGGAACCTTTAGATTCCAATGATGTTTTGGTTCATTAACTGTATGCATGCTATTTCAGTGCATTTAAAGTGTGCAAGGCAAAACCTTTGAGACTTTGGAAACTTTAGAATTAAATATTTAAATATCTGTCGAGATGATTAAACTTACGTGATTCTATGCATATATATTGAAGGTGAGAGTAGAAATAATACTGGGCCAGTGTGGTGGCTTACGCCTGTAATCCCAGCATTTCTGGAGACCGAGGCGGGTGGATCACTTGAGGTCAGGAGTTCAAAACCAGTCCAGCCAACATGGTGAAAAACCCCATCTCTACTAAAAATACAGAAAACATTAGCTGGGTGTAGTGGTGCACACCTGTAATCCCAGCTACTTGGGAGGCTGGGAGAGGATAACTGCTTGAAACAGGGAGGCAGAGATTGCTGTGAGCCAAGATCGCACCATTGCATTCCAGTCTGGGTAACAGAGTGAGACTCTGTCTCAAAACAAACAAACAAAAAATAACAGCAATAGATAATACTGTATGTTTACTGTACCTTTTCCATGTTTAGGAATATTTAGATATACAAATGCCATGTGTTACAGTTGCCCACAGTATTCAGTACAGTCACATGCTCTACAGGTGTGGAGCCCGGGAGCAGTAGGTTCTGCGAGATAGCCTAGGTGTGTAGCAGGCGATACCACCTAGGTTTTTGTAAGTGCTCTCTGTGATGTTCACACAATGACAAAAATCTCCTAATGACACATTTCTCAGAATGTATCCCTGTCATGAAGCAATGCGTGACTGTATATACTATATGTTTATAATAAAATTTATATCCTTTGTTATAAATATAACATATATTCATACTTTTCCCTTCTGAAAACATGAGGAGACGTTTTTTTGAGACAGAGTCTCACACTGTCACCCAGGCTGGAGTGCAGTGGTACAATCTCGGCTCACTGCAACCTCTGCCTCCTGGGTTCAAGCGATTCTCCTGCCTCAGCCTCCTGAGTAGCTGGGACTACAGGCGCCAGCCACCACACATGGCTAATTTTTGTATTTTTAGTACAGACCAGGTTTCTCCATGTTGGCCAGGCTGGTCTTGAACTCTTGACCTCAGGTGATCCGCCAGCGTCGGCCTCCTGAATCCCAAAGGATTACAGGTGTGAGCCACCGCCTGTAGAGGAGACTTTATTTGGCTGTTTAAGTTGACAAATTGAAATGTTCCTACCCCACCTGTGATCTTGGCTTTGTGTGTCTCTGTGGCTTAATAACTCCACCTTATTATATTGCAGGCTTGAAAGAAAAAATGAAATGTTTAAAGAGTAGGTTATGCATTGTTTGCTGTGTCTGTGCTCGGCATGATGCCCGCATGTCCTGGGAAGGTGGAATCTCGGTCTGGTTGTAGGGGTGCAGTGATCAAGTTACCATGATTTCTCAAGTAACAACCTTGTAACTTGGCCACAATATCCATATGACACAGATAACCACCGTCTCGTCCCCCCACTCTTTGTCCTATCACCCCTGCCTCTCCTGAGCAGCACTGCATGCCCCTGGAAGCTGGGAATGCTTTGACCTTGTGGAGTTCAAGGTGAACTGTGTCTTTCTGCATGTGTTCTGCTTCTTGCTTTGATGCTGATGTGGTGTCCCAACTGCCTGCTCTTTGAGCCTGTCTGTTTTATGGCCACTGGAAGCTTAAACTCCAGGCTTCACTTTGGGTGGCCTTGATGGGGTTCAGACATACAAGGAGCCTCCGGGCAGTCCCGGTGCCCAAACAGCTCTTTCCTTGTGTGAATGTTAGAGGGAGTCATTTGCTTTGGATTTTCTCCAACCCGCTCAAATTAAAAATAGCAAATCATTTTAGGTTGAATAAAAATCTTAAGAGATTGGCAGTTATCAAATGCCTTCCCAAATGCAGTCTGTTTGTCACACTGAGATTTTTTGCTGATGCTAAGAAAAAAATCACCTTGTCAAGTTAACCAAACGGGTCTGATTTCCCAGAAGGTCACTCCTCGGGTCCAGGACTGCAAGGCTGACTTCAGGTAGAGAGCTACTTTTCTACATAAACAATGGAGGAACTTTAGCTTATATTAAAATAGTGATCAAAATGCTTGTATTTTATGCAACATTAATGTAACCTTAAGTTAGATGTTATTATTATGCAGTATCCATCCCCAATCCTGATGGTACCAGCAGTGGCCTCAGGAGGAGAAAATTCAGCTTCGTTTGTGGAATGGGCTTTATGACCTCTGTGCCTCCTGTGAGTCGGGTCTCAACTTCCCAAGACTAGAGTTAGTGAAGCACATTCTGAAGCCTGGAGGCTGTAGGGAGGCTGAGGTGGGAGGATTGGCTGGGGCCAGGAGTTCAAAGTTGCAGTGCACTGTGATCGTGCCTGTGAATAGCCACCATACTCCAGCCTGGACAACATAGCAAGACCTTGTCTCTTAAAAACAAACAAACCAACAAGCAAACAAACAAACAAAAAATACAGCATGTGCCATAAACCAGCCCAGAGAGACCTTTTTTTCTTTTTCTTTTTGAGACAGAGTCTTGCTCTGTCGCTAAGCTGGAGTGCAGAGGTGCAATCTCTCACTGCAACCTCTGCCTCCTGGGTTCAAGCGATTCTCCTGCCTCAGCCTCCTGAGTAGCTGGGATGACAGGCGTGCACCACCATGCCCGGCTAATTTTTGTATTTTTAGTAGAGACGGGATTTCACCATGTTGGCCAGGATGGTCTTGATTTCTTGACCTTGTGATTCACCTGCCTCAGCCTCCCAAAGTGCTGGGATTACAGGCGTGAGCCATCGCGCGAACCGAGGGGCCCTTTTAAACTTAGTTTGACTTGGGCTTTCCCAGTGTTACCTGAATGAGGAAATCTTTCTCTTCTGCAGGGCACCCATGAACTAGTGATTGGCAGGATGAACCAGAGGCATGCATTGTTGCATTTTAATCCTATCTCCTCCGGGGACAATTAGGGCACCACGGCTCGCAGCCGGTCAGACCTGGTCCAAAAGTCACTTCTGGATTTTCCTTTTCTCACCTGTAAATGGACTGAATGGCTTCACAGGCTCTTGGCTTCACCGGGACCTGTTGTTTCTGCTTGTTCCTTGCCTCTAGTTGAGCCGGGAGCAGGGAAGGACACAGACAGCTTTGACTGCAGCCAGGGCTGGCAAACACCTTGCCCAGCCTGGGCCCCAGAATGTCCACAGAAGACAGAAACCCTCGAGGCTTGTCTGGCTTGCTGGGCAATGGGCCACAGTCTGGTTGGTCACCATCCCTCATGTTGCTACCTGCCGGGCAGGCCTTGGTTTGGTTCTCGGACAAGACCGTCATGGCTCAAGAGTTGCCAGCCTGTGCAGAGTGTGTTTTGATGAGGGGTGAGCCTGCCTGGGTCATGGTCTGACCTCATGGGCCCTTAGCCCAGGTCCGCGTTACCCCCTCTGAGGCCCAGGCTTTAGTGACTACAGCCCAGGCAGGGGAGGCAAGGCCTGTGTGTTCCAAGCTGCCGTGGGCAAGCTGTGGTACTGTGAGTAGAGAAGGCCAGAGGGGCTGGGCACAGTGGCTCACACCTGTAATCCCAGCACTAAATGGGTGTCTCAGCCTCATTCTGACGAGAAGTCTAAATCTGTCAACTGGAGACATTTAATCAAAGGAGATTCCTCTATTATCTCACAATAATTCTGGGTCACTTTGCTCAGAGAGGTCAAGGAGCTTATATCAGGTCACACAGCCAGTAAAAGTCAGAACTGGCATTTAAATGTGGGCCTTACTGGTTCAAAAGCCCTAGTTCCTACCACTGTTTTACTGGCTCCCAAATATCTCTCAGCAATTTTTCATTGGCTTGTGGTGAAATCAGAAAAATAAAGACATGCAGTATTTTTTTTTTTCTTTTTGAAAAAAATACGTAAATCTTATTTTAAAAAGCAAGATCTGGCTGGTCACGGCGGCTCATGCCTGTAATCCAGCACTTTGGGAGGCCAAGGCGGGCGGTTTACCTGAGGTCAGGAGTTTGAGACCAGCCTGGCCAACGTGGTGAAACCCTGCCTCTACTAAAAATACAAAAATTGGCCAGGTGTGATGGTGTGTGCCTATAATCCCAGCTCCTTGGGAGGCCAAGGCAGGGGAATTGCTTGAACCCTGGAGGCAGAGGTTGCAGTGAGTCGAGATGGTGCCACTGCATTCCAGCCTGGGCGACAGAACGAGATCCATTTTCCAAAAAAAAAAAAAAAAAACATAGAAGACCAGAGGGATGGCAAAGGGCCATCCTCAGACAACATTCTTTCCAAAGGCAAGGTGCATGGACAGGGAAGGGCTTGGATGCCTGACCTGGGGCAAGGCTCAATGTACACGGCTGGAGCTGGTGTTCAAGACATGTGAGAGATGAGGAGGAAGTCACAGTCACACACCCAGAAGCTTCTGGAGGCCTCTGCAGGGAGACATCATCTCAGACTTCCCTGAGCATCTGTCAGTACCAAGCACATGCTGGGCACGCGGTGGTGATGCACGGCCTTCACCTTCTGGAGGCCACAGCCTTGCCGGGGACAGACTCTTAGTGCCACATGTGCCGTGATGGAAACAAAGACCAAGCTGCAAGAAGCGGGTTCAGTCTTGGAGGAGTTATAGGGCAGGGATGCTTCAGATGGAAAGGGAGACCTCAGCCCTTTGGTCTGAATGCCATGAAGGCCTTGGACTTGGTGCAAATGGCCAGAGACACAAGCTTGATCTGAAATGTATCTCTTCCAAGCCACGCAGACAGTGCAAGCTGATACCACAGTCATGGTTGCCAGGAGGAGTCTGTCAGTATTTTGAGCATGTTTATGGAGCACTTGCTCTGTGCAGGGCACTGTGACAGGCTCTGGGAACACACAGACCAGTGAGTCACAGTCACTGTCCTTGAGGAACCTGAGACAGCACGAGGAGTGGAGTTCAGGCCAGCAGGAGCAGGGACAGTTGGGCCACCCCTGGAAGGAACTGGTCTTTCCTTGTCCTACATGTTGAAGGACAGAGGCAGCTGTGAGAGGAGAGCGGGGAGTTGTGGGGACTTGCCTGGGGTGTCAGAGGGGATGAGGTAGGAGGTGGAGGGAAGAGATGGATGGGATGGCACATACCGCCTTGCCATCTCCCATCCTGGGCTGCCACTTGGTGCCTTGAGACTGGTTCCTGGCTTGTGGGATGGCTCTGGGCCCATGCTGGGAGGTGAACTTGCCTGTGCTTGTGCAGTGGGGTCCTGGAGGTGAGTTTCGCTGCTGTTCCTGCCACAGGAGGAGTCCTCCCAATCCTCCTGGTTACCCTCTGACCGCTCCCTGCTCTCACTTCCTCCCCAGCCTGCACCCTTGCTACAAGGTCATTCCCACTGTGTGTGGCAATACCAAAACCTGTATTAATACCTAAACTAATATCAATGTCTGAGTCAGCCTGGACTGCTGTCACAAAATACCACTGACTTGGCAGCTTAAACCACAGACTAAGATCAGACAACCTGGTTTCTCCTGAGGGCTCTCTGCCTGGCTTGTAGATGGCCACCTTCTTGCTGTGTCGTCCCATGGCCATTCCTTGGTGCCTGCATGAGGAGAGAGAGAGCACGGATCCAACTCTCTGCTGTCCCTTCTTATATGGCCTCAAATTCCATTGGATCAGGGCCCCACCCTTACTGCCTCAGAGGTACTCTTGTCAACAGGCCAGGACTCGCCGTGTTAACTCCAACACCAGCGTCCTAAATCTGTAAAACAAATTCTCCCAAGGACCTCCTTCGAGTCTCGGTGGTCTAGAAGCTGTCTGAGTGTGGTTCCTGGGCAGGTTCCACCTGCTGCATGGCTGTGTCCACTTAGTGGATGTGGCAGGGAAGGGAACCGTGGCCCTGCCATGGGCCAAGCAGGGCGTTAGGTGCTTCATGCATTGTCTCCCTTTATCCTGGAGTTTCCATAGCTTGCTCTGTGCCAGTTTCCTCATCTGTAAATTGAGATCATCATAGGGTTTTAATAGGGTTGAAGAATAAATTAAATGGAATAATTCATGTTTCTTGGCCCTAGGTCAGCAGCAGTAAGTGCCAGCTGCTTTAATGGTCATTGTCACCATCGTCGTCCTGTTATCTTCAGGCCTTTCCTATATCTCACATGCTGGCATTTCTTCCCCAGCCCGGTTTCCTCCTCCATTTCATTCCTATCTGCTTCTTGGGGACCTATCCACCCACATGTCAAACTCAAGCTTGTCCCAGGCAGAACTTGCCTCCTCTCCTCCGTCCCCATCCCTCCCACCTCCATGGCTGCCCAGCTTAGTGTACTTCTCTCCCTCCACCCAGCCACCCAACGGGAAAGCTGGTGTCACCAGGCCTGCGTCATTGCCTTGCACCCTGTCCAGTGGGTCCTCCCCTGTCCTCTTCTCCCCTCCCAGGGCCCCTCCCACTCCTCTTGGCACCACCCTCTCCCTCCCACGTTCCTGCTGGCTTCTCGCCTGCAGCCTCCTCCATGCCAGCCTCAGAGGACTCCCCCAGAGTGTGTGAGTGTCCCCAGCCTGCTCCCCTTGGTCGGCTGGAGTCTTATTTGGTAACCCCACTGGCCGCCACTGTCGGGGTTGGAGGAATTTCAGTCCAGTTCCTGTGCTAGGGGCTGAGTGGGTGGGATCTAGTGTTGTTTTTGGCACTCGGTGAGGTGCAGACATGACCCTTGGTGACCGATCCTACCCCTTTCTGTTCAGCGTCTGTCCACACTCCCTCTTCTCTGACTCACAGTGCCCTGAGCACATAACGCTGCCAGCCCTCCTTGCCTGACACCCAACGCCCTCCATCACCGGCCACATGGCCGCCTCCTCTTCCCCTTAGCCTCCGCATGAGTACCATGTCTGTGTCCCAGTGGGGGGTCTCCATCCTCCCTAGCGGGAGCCGGCGCCAACTCTTCATCCTCCCTTAGCACTCCAGGAGGTTATCACCGGGCCCCAGCTCTCTGTGGAGTGTCTGCCTAGGGGTCTCCCTGTGGACCTTGGGCAGGGCGTGGTGTCTAGAGTGTGTCCCCAGCAGGGTGATGGGTGTGGAGTGAGCATGACAGTCCCCTTTCACGCACCAGGATAGACTGGGAAGTGCCGGTGCACAGGGAGCCTGGTCTGGGACATCCGCCATAGGAAGGACCCTCTGCCAGGGGCTCAGGAATTCCAGGGGCCACAGTGGCACTGCAGCTTCCGGGGAATTTCCCACTCTCCCATAGACCGGCGTATTAAAAGAGGTCAGGTCCTGGGGCGGCTGGCCCAGGTAGCTCTGTTTAAGCGTATGGCGAACTAATCTGAAGAGAGCAGGCAAGGTGCCACTCCGCTGTGTCTCAGGGAGGGAAATGGATTCTCTCCTAGCCTAAGGGTTGAGTCAGCTGAGGTTTATTTAGTGTTGCTTCTTTCTGACTTCAATTCCGGGGCTCTCTCCACCCCACACCTGGTTAGAATGAGCCAGAGACATTCTGAAGGCAGTGGGTTTGGTGGAAAGAAAAGAAAAAAAGGAAATGTGTGAAAACACTGGTGTGGTCTGTTCACCAGAGACTTTTCTCTAAATAGCAGATACTGAAAAATGCACCTCTCTGCCGTTTAATATAAACCACAGACACAAAGTCCAGTATTTTGCTAATGTGGAAAATGCCTTCTTTGAAATGGACAGTGAAGGTTGAAACTGTCTAGTGCTTGGGCTGACAGCTCCCACGGGCTCACAGCTCCCACATGGAACAGCTCCCACGGGCTCACAGCTCCCACGGGCTCACAGCTCCCACGGGCTCACAGCTCCCTGCTCCCACAGGGAACGTTTGCTTTGCCAGAGCCCTGTGCCTGCCCACCGGCGTTGCCCGTGATGGCTGCCTTCATGTCCACGGTGATGCTTGACTTGGGATTCCGAAGTCTTGATCGTGGACGCAGAGCGCAGGCTCATGTGTTGAAATGTGTTTGTATTCTTCCAGTTGACTTAACATCCTTTGTGACCCACTTTGAATGGGACATGGCCAGATACCCTGCCAAGCAGCCGCTCGTGAGCGTGGTGGACACAATAGCCAAGGTGAGAAAAGGGACTGCTCTGGGGGACAGCTGACTGGTGGGTCAGGTGGGCAAGAGCCTGGGGTCTGAGCCTGGGTAGGGCCCCCCCTGTCAACAACCTCAGCCTGCCCTGAGTGGGCCTCTGGGTTTCTGAGGTGTGGCCTCCTTCCATGCACCGGGCAGGTTTGGGGTTTTAGGGCAGCCCTGGTCAGAGAAAGAGTCAGTCCTCTGGTCTCCCCTCGAGGGCCCAGCACCGGTTCACTTGCTGCGCCACTTCTTTTTTCAAAAGTTACTGATGGTGGCCAGGCACGGTAGCTCACGCCTGTAATCCCAGCACTTTGGGAGGCCAAGGTGGATGGATCACAAGGTCAGGAGTTCGAGACCAGTCTGTCCAATATGGTGAAACCCTGTCTCTACTAAAAAATACAAAAATTAACTGGGCATGGTGGCACGCACCTGTAGTCCCAGCTAGTTGGGAGGCTGAGGCAGGAGAATCGCTTGAATCCGGGAGGCAGAGGTTACGCTGCTCTCCAGCGTGGGCAACAGAATGAGATTCCATCCCCCCACCAAAAAAAAAAAAGTTACTAATGGTGAAGGCAGCTCCCCCATCATTTACTCCTAGGAACCTGACACCTCTAGCCCCCAGGGGATTGTTCACCTGCAAAGCTATTTGCTTTAAGTGGAGAGTTTGGCTTGGGAGCCCTAACCTCTTGAGGCACTGCACCAGCTCTTCACTCTCCACTTGTGACAATGGAGAGGCAGTAAGTGTCCCAACAGCCCTCTGTCCTGTTCAGCAATGGCCTGCACTCCACTTGATAAAATGAACACCCTGTGACTCGAGTCCCAGGGGATGCTGTGGGCACCTGGAGCCGGGTGACTTCTCTGTATCATCACTGAGGGCGAGAGTGATGAGGACCGTGAGACTGAGGCTGATGGTTTCTGAGGCCTGGCCCTCGCTTCTGCCCCAAAACACTGAGCCCCTAATGTGTCCCGTCTCCTGCTGGCCCCCATGGCTGTGGGAGAGTCTCAGCCTGGGCCAGGAACAAAGGCGCCCGGTTCTCTACTGTGACTGTGGCCAAGGGTCAGGGTGGAGCTGGGCCTCAGATCTGTCCTCTGGCAACTCCTGCAGGTCTCCTGGAAAGTAGGGTGGGGCCAGAAAGCTCGGGAATCTGGGTGGGGCACCTCGGGGGCTGCTAACATCAAAGGGGCCCAGACCCCTGCTGGAACGATCAGGCAGTGATTCTGGAAGGCCCTTCAAGGAGGGGCTGCCCAGAGCACCTGTGCCAGGTGTTCCCTTCGGAGGGCGCTGTGCATGTCCACCAAGGAACTGGAAGCACACGGTGGCTGGTGGGGCTGGCCCTTCTCTGCCTCACCATGGGCCAGTTTGGGATCCTCTGAGTCCCAGGGATGCCAGACTCAGTGTGGAGGGCCCCTGGAGCACATGGAGGGGGCAGAGGGGCGGTAGGGAGACCTGGCTTCTCCAGTCCAGAGCACCCTAAGAGTGCCTTTGGCAGGAAGGAAGGAGGGCACTGGTTTGGTGGCATTCCAGATGTGCCCGAGACTGTGCTGGGTTCTCTTACTATCCACCTCATGCCATGGGGTGGACATCGCTTTCCTCTGAGTGCAGAAGAGGAAGCCGAGGTGTTGAGTGCGCGATCCAGGGCCTGCCACAGTTGGAGTATTATGCTGGGATGGGGATACAGGTCTTAGGGACCAGAGCCTGCGGGTTGACTGTGTGCATGGTACCACTTCCGAAGGAAGCCCTGGACTGGCTCCAGCACAGGGAAGCAGCTCCTGGCGGGAGCAGGGGCAGAGGCTCCGGGGTGTTGGCTCCCTCAGTCCTGCCTACACCAGGAACACAGTGTGACACCCCCGCCTCAGCCTCGTTCTGCCAACGAGAGGTCTCAATCTGTCAACTAGAGACATTTAGTCAAAAGAGATTCCTCTATTATCTCACAATAATTCTGGGTCACTTTGCTCGGAGAGGTCAAGGAGCTTATATCAGGTCACACAGCCAGTAAAAGTCAGAACTGGCATTTAAATGTGGGCCTTACTGGTTCCAAAACTCTAGTTCCCACTATTGTTTTACTTGCTCCCAAATACCTCTCAGCAATTTTTCATTGGCTTGTGATGAAATCAGAAAAATAAAGACAAGCAGTATTTTTTTTTTTTTGCTTTTTTTCCCCAAAAAATATACAAATCTTATTTTAAAAAGCAAGATCTGTGGATTGTAGCCATGTCAGTCTCCTGGTTATGATACAGAACTATGACGGTATGGTGCAGAGTAGTATAGTATAGTATAGTTGTATAGGACAGTACAGTATAGTAATAGAGCTGTACAGTGCAGAATAGTAATCATATAGTTATATAGTTGCATAATGCTGTATACTATACAGTTGCACAGTATACTTCTGTAGTGCAGAAGAGTTTAATATAGTTGTATAGTCGTACAATATAGTTGCACAGTTCAGTATAGTATGCAGTTGTATAGTGCCGAATAGTATAGTTGTATGGTGAGGTGTGGGAAATCACTGTGGGAAACTGCATGGAGAGTACTAAGGATCTCTATGTACTATTTTTGCAACATCCTGTGAATCTATAATCATTTCAAACTTGAAAGTTTTAAAAAAATATTATAAAAAGATGAATTTTATAAAAAACCAAACATGGCAACATGTAAAGAGAAAAACATTTAGTTTTTATTTTTAAAATCATCACTTTAAATCTTTTTCTTTAATTATCATTTTTATCATTTTATTATTATTATTTTTTTGAGACAGAGTCTCACTGTGTTGCCCAGGCTGGAGTGCAGTGGTGAGATCTCGGCTCACTGCAGCCTCCACCTCCCAGGTTCAAGCAATTCTCCTGCCTCAGCCTCCTGAGTAGGTAGGATTATAGGCACACGTCGCCATGCCCAGCTAACATTTTTGTATTTTGAGTAGAGACAGGGTTTCACCATGTTGCCCAGGCTGGTCTCAAACTCCTGAGCTCAGGCAATCTGCCCACCTCGGCCTCCAAAGTGCTAGGATTTCAGGCATGAGCCACCGTGCCTGGCCCATTTTATTATATATATTTTTTGAGACAAAGTCTCACTCTGTCACCCAAGCTGGAGTACAGTGGCGCGATCTCAGCTCACTGCAACTTCCGCCTCCCGGGTTCAAGCAATTCTCCTGCCTGAGCCTCCTGAGTAGCTGGGATTACAGGCGTCCACCACCATGCCCAGCCAATTTTTGCATTTTTAGTAGAGACAGGGTTTTACCATGTTGGCCAGGCTGGTCTCAAACTCCTGACCTCAGGTGATCCTCTCACCTTGGCCTCTCAAATTGCTGGGATTATAGGCATGAGCTACCTTGCCCAGCCTACCATTTGAATATAATCATTTAATTTAATCATTTTTATCATTTTAAATATATTTAATTATTTTATCTTTAAAATTATTTTATGATTTTATCTTTAAAATAATAAAATCATTCGAGCTGTGATCATCACCCCCATTCCCTTTATTCTCCCAAAAGGTAACCAATGTTTAAAAGTTTACAATGGATTCATCCATGTATAAAAATGTCTATATTTAGACTAAAGCTGTTGGCATTGTGTGGAGCACCCATTTTCTTCATCTATTGACTCTTGAGATGCTCCCGTCAGCAGCTGTGTGCTGGCCTGTAGCATTTGTTGATGGCCGTGGTGTAAATGCTCCTGCCATGGCCGGTTGCCTAAGCTGGTGGGGTGTTACTGCATGGGGCTGCGAGGAGGGAATGGGAAGGAGCCTGGCACAGTTGGCTCTCAGCACTGGCATTATCCGCCCTCTGGAACAAATGGGGAACCTGAGCCAGTCGGCCAGAAAGCAGGAGGGTGTGGCTTGAGCCTGGGCCTGTCTTGTTTCTGTCCACTGCACTTCCTTGCCCCTGCCAACACGTACGAGGAATATTGGCACAGCCGAGCCAGGAGACGGGGCATTTGTGAGGGCCAGGCAATGTCGGGTCCTCCTGGAAGCAACGATTGGGGGTCAGCCTGAGCTGCCCTCCAGCAGAGCCCGAGAGGGTAGGTGTGGGTGTGGGATGTCCCGACTGTTCAGGATGGGCTTGAAATCAGGAAAGGCTGGGCTCATCGAGTCATCCTAGAAAAGCCATCATGGCTTGGCGCCTGGGTGCCACACAGGGGCTCCTTGGAAGGGCCAAATGCTGGTAAACGGAAGCCATCCTGGCAAATGGCCAGGGCAGTTCTTTTTCTTGAACGCACCATGAGCTTTTGTGGCCATTTCAAAAAGTTCAACCAACTCCTTCAGTGCCCAAGGTCACCCGGAGCTTTTGCTTTCCCAAACAGCAACTGGCGCAGATCGAGATGGACCTGAAGTCCCGAACGGCCGCTTACAACACTCTGAAGACAAACCTGGAGAACATGGAAAAGAAATCCATGTGTGTATTCACCAGCCTCCACATCTGGCGAGGGCGAGTCCTGGCGAGGGCATAGCGTTTGCCTGTCCTGCCACTGGGCCACCTGGGAGTCTGTGCCCGTGCATGACAGTGAGACAGACAGACAGGTGGAGGCACTCTCACCTCTCCAAGAGCCGCGTGCTGGGAGAGGAGGAAAGGGCCAGGCGAGGGTGATCACGCCCCGTGCATATGCCCAGGGAAGAGGATGCGGCCGTGCTGCTCCTCACCGCACGCTTCCGTCTCCCAGCTTCTCCAGGGCGCCTGGGTGCTGCACCCAGTCCTCCCCTGTGGAGGCTGCACAGAGGGCCCCCGGGGCTGACAGGAGGCCAGGATATCAGAGCACGGCCCGTTGCAAAGCGCAGCAAGATAGTGGGCTCTGTGGACAAGAGCAGAGCAGCCTCAGGGACTCAGGTGCCTTCTCCACCCACCTGAAGAACCACTGTGTGGGAGAGGGAGCAGGCTCCGCCGGCAGAACAGTCACCACGATGGTAGAGATGCCAGAGAAAAGTGTTAACTCAGCAACGCAGTGGCAGGGACTGTCTTGTGAGGTAGTGAGTGTCCTGTTGTTGGAGGTGTGTAAGAGAAGCCATGTAGCCAGACATGGTGGCTCACGCCTGTAATCCCAACACTTTAGGAGGCTGAGGCGGGTGGATCACGTGAGGCTAAGAGTTTGACCTGGCCAACATGGTGAAACCCCGTCTCTACTAAAAATACAAAAATTAGCTGGGCATGGTGGTGCGCACCTGTAATTCCAGCTACTTGGGAGGCTGAGGCACGAGGATCACTTGAACCTGGGAGACAGAGGTTGCAGTGAGCTGAGATCACCACTGCACTCCAGCCTGGGCATAGAGTGAGACTCTGTCTCAAAAAAGAAAAAAACAAAACAAAACAGAGAAGCCAGGTGAGCTCCTGCTGAGGAGGCTGCTCCTGAACAGGGTGAGGTGGGGTTGGCTGGCATGGAGGAGCAGCCCAGTCCCCCCAGACTCTGGATCTGATGCTGTTGGTTGTTCTCCGAGAACCCTGGTCAGTTGTAGAGTTTTCAATATGATACCTACACTTGGCCCCTAACTCCAGAGAAGGGAAGTGACGCAGGGAGGCCCGAACCAACTGCCCTCCCCTGATTGGCCCACTACTGTAAGCAAACGGAATGTTACCTGGGAGGTACCCCCACTTCTGCAGTCCACTTCTGAGGGTCACTGGGCCAGCTGTCTTCTTGTGAAAAAAGCAAATGGTACATTAGTGGAAAGAAAATTAAAAACCATAGATGGTTTTTAGGCCAGGCACAGTGGCTCATGCCTGTAGTCCCAGCACTTTGGGAGGCTGAGGCAGGTAGATCACCTGAGGCCAGGAGTTTGAGACCAGCCTGACCAACATGGAGGAACCTCATCTCTACTAAAAATACAAAATTAGCTGGGCATAGTGGTGCGCACCTGTAATCCCAGCTACTCGGGAGGCTGAGGCAGGAGAATCACTTGAACCTGGGAGGAGGAGGTTGCAGTGAGCCGAGATCATGCCACTGCACTCCAGCCTGGACAACAAGAGCGAAACTCTGTCTAAAAAAAAAAAAAAAAAAAAAAAAACAGCCCACTTCAACTGGAAACCCTTGCTGTTGGATGCCTGGCTTCTTGTCAAAAGTAAGTGGGCATGAGCTCTGGAGTATAGGACGGAGGCCAGGCGCCAGCACAGAGAGCCCTAAGTGGGGATGGGTCATCCGTCCATCCATTCTGGCTTGGAGCTCACATACCATGGGGCCATCCACTCGCACAGCATCACCCTGTGATGGATTTCCTCAGGACTGGTTGGGACTTGAGCAAACACCTGGTCCAGCCTCTTCACTCAACTGGTGAGGTTCCGTCATTCATTGATCATTCATTGATTTGCAGTGACTTTAATTGATTTACTGAGCACATACAGCAAGTATAAGAGGGTGGTGTACGAAGAGGGATGAACGTTTCTAACTCCCTCCTCTGCGCTCTCTTTTCTTCTTTTGTTGTACATGTACCAAGTATGCACTGTGCCCTCAGGCCTGACGCTAAACCCTAAAGATGTAAAGCAGAATACAATACAATTTTTGCACTTGCAGAGCTCGTAGTTATTCATTCGACAAACGTGTGGAAAGTTGGCTTCGTGTTGGGGGTTCAGAGGTGAGCCAGGGAGAGAGGTGGGACAGTGTAAGGGTAATGTGTTCAGTTCTAGGACAGGGAGGTTCAAGCATGTGGTGCCCAGGAAGAAGGAACCTAAGGGCTTTATCCATGGCCATGCAGCTGGTCAGTGATGTTCAGGCAGGAGACAGCAAAGAAGCCACATAGGCTCCCTGAGGAAGGTGTTTCCCATTGCCTTTAAAGCTTTGGCCATGGCTGAGTGCTGGAGAGCGATTTCCCAGGGAAGCACTCTGTGCCGACGTCACCGCCCCTGTGCTGGTCCCGCATACAGCCTGGGTAGTTTGATCTTGGCCCATTTTCTGATCTGACAGCCTTGATCCATGCGCCAATAATACCATACCCTCCACTCAGACCAGGTCCACTGGGCATGTAGAAAGCTATTTCAGGTGAGTGTCTCCTGGCTGCTGGGCTGGGAGGCCTGTAAAGTGACACGGAGCTCTATCGAGGATGGCTCACGCAGCTCCAAGAGCTGGCCGTGGTGTTGACACTTGAGTAACTTTAGCTGCCTGCCACCCGAGGCCCCCATCCTGTAGCAGCTGTGGCTGGCACCGCGCACCGGGGCAGTGCAGGTCACTGAGGTGTTGGATTCGGCAGCCCCTTGGGTGATGGGTGATAGTACCTGAGGCCCTGCCAGCCTCCCTGTCCCTAGAGGGGAGGAGGCAGCAGCTGTGACCCCAGCAAAGAGCCTGGCCCTGCAGTTGGCAGGGAGCGATCATTGCTGAGAATTGCTGTGTTCTTCTAGGCTCCAACATCCCTGGTGCCCACCCTGCCTTGAGAACTGCCCCTCAGCCCCAGTGCCTGGGCATGGGTTTTTGGGGTCACTGTGTCCCTTTCTGCTCACACCATTCACACCCTTTGTTCCACCTGCCTTTTAGGGGGAACCTCTTCACCCGGACACTGAGTGATATTGTGAGCAAGGAGGACTTCGTGCTGGATTCTGAGTATCTCATCACACTTCTGGTCATCGTCCCCAAGTGAGTGCTGGGCAAGTGGGTGTCTCAGCCTGTGCCGGGCGATCACGAAGGCAACTGGCCCTGCCCAGCAGAGAGGAAGGTGGGCCCTTTGGTGACTTGGGTGGAGTGGACGAAGATGCTCCCTGCCCAGCCCCAGTTCCCAGGAAACAGTCATTCCTTCACGGGGCCCTGCCCGCGGCTGTGCCAGCAGGGACAGTTGTTGGGTGATGGAGGTTGTGGCCATGACAGAAGCAGTCATTTATTGAGCGCTTGCTATATACCCAACGTGTGGTTGACATTATTTTATTTCATCCTCACCAAAGGCCTGGGAAGTCTGGTGATTCCCATTGTCCTGAGGCTGGAGAGGCTGGTTAGCTTGCCCAAGGTCACAAGGGGCCCAGATTAGACGGTTGTTAGTGAGCCCCAAGTGTATCCATAGCTCTTCACAAAGGGACTTCTGTGGGTACCCTGGGGAGGCTAGGCAGGGGATTCCCCATGGGCACAGCCGGGCCTCAGGGGAGGTTAGGGCTCCCTCTGACCCCATCCCTGCTCACCTTCAGGCCCTCAGGAAAATGGGTATGCAGCTTCCTAAGCACTCAGGACACCCAAGAGCCTTTTCTGCAAAAAAATCACAGAATGATTCTGTGTTCTTGCAGACCCAACTACTCACAATGGCAAAAAACCTACGAATCTCTCTCAGACATGGTGGTCCCTCGATCAACCAAGTAAGTGAGACCCCAGCTTGCTCCCAGGGCCCCTGGGGTGCATGTGTGGGTGCTTCAGGGCACCCAACCACCAAACATGCCCTGAGGGTGTAAGGCCCCCCCCCGGCCCTCCACACCTGGGCCCTCTCCTGTCCCTTGGCCTGGAGTTCTGTCAGCGTCGCACACCTTGTCACATGCCAGAGTGCCTTCCTCTTTCAAAACTTCACTTCCCTGCCCCTGCCCTGGGAAGGCTGCCCTGGCCCCACCTGGCCGAGCAGCCTCTCCATGCCATTGCCTCTGCTGCATTCTGGCTCTGCATTCTCGGCTCAGCATCAATTCTTCCCTGCCAGAGGGGGAAGCCAGCCCTGGCCTGAGCGGCTGCCCAGTGAACGGCCACAGCGGGAGCCGGGAGGGAAAGCAGCCTCGGTGTGTGGCCTGCGGGGGCCAGAGCAGGAGTGGCCAGTGGACCCTGGCAGAGTGACAGGCGGAGGGCAGGTTACAAACTGTGTCCATCATGGGATACTGCGTGGCGGGGGAACCAAGGATGCCGGCCCCGTGTGTCAGGAGGGAAGAAGGGGAAAGGCTGCTACAGAGGAGCAGAGGGTGTGAAATGGGTGTGAAATGGGTGTGAAAGGGGTCTGAAAGGGGTGTGAAATGGGTGTGAAATGGGTGTGAAATGGGTGTGAAATGGATGTGAAATGGGTGTGACTCGGGCACACACAGGTACACAGGGAATTGTGGGGATGGGTCACGGGGAAGAAGGCCACGCTCAGGATGGTGGTGGCCCAGGATGGAGTGAGTGGCACATATGGGGTAGGAGCATGTGGGCTTTCACCGGCTGGAGCTTTGGTTTTGGGTGGCTGATCCAAAGCTGCGCGTTTTCCTTTTTTTTGAGACGGAGGCTCACCCTGTTGCCCAGGCTGGAGTGTAGTGGCACGAGCTCAGCTCACTGCAACCTCCGGCCTCCCGGGTTTAAGCAACTCTCCTACCTCAGCCTCTCAAGTAACTGGGATTATAGACGTGCACCAACATAGCCAGCTAATTTTTGTATTTTTGGTAGAGGTGGGGTTTCACCATGTTGGTCAGGCTGGTCTCGAACTCCTGACCTCAGGTGATCCGCCTGCCTCAGCCTCCCAAAGTGCTGGGATTACAGGTGTGAGCCACCACACCCAGCATGGTACTCATTTTCCTCTATACCTTTTTGTATGGCTGAGATGGTTTGTAATTTGAAGAGGTTTTAGAATGCTCCTCAGGCAGCCAGCCTATTCATCTGACTCCTCACAGACAGAGCTCCTGGTGCAAGGCCTCTGCCCTGGGGCCCCTGCTGGGGGAAGGGGCTCTCCCAGGGCCAGGAAATGGCAATCATCGGGATCTAAATTGAAAGGTGCAAGGAACAGGACAATCACAGCCCGAGGTTACAGGGGAGGCAGGGAAGAGGAGTAAGGCTCCGGAGCGGAGGAGCTGGCCCTGGAAGCTGGTGTGCTGGCAGGAGCATTCACTGCTCTTAAATGCCAAGCACCGGGGATCCGTGCCAGGACCGGCTGCCTTGGTAGGTGGCCTGGCCTCCCAGACCAGAGCCTCAGGCCCTTCATTGTCACCAGCCACCTGAAAGCCTGCACAGATGACTCTAGAAATACCTGGAGCCTGGGGGCAGCCCCTATGGGAGGGGCTGTGAGAAACAGAAAGGGTGACCCTGCCAGCATGCTGTGAGATCGTGTCTGGCCCTGAGGGCTCCCACTTCCGGTCTTCTGGCCAGTAGGACTCAGAGATGTTTAGACCGCTGGCCCCAAGAATTCCTGAGTTGCTGGAGACAGTGGCCCCAGTGGTCCTGGGTTGAGACGTGCTTGGGAGGCTGTGTTCCGTTAGGACTTTGTGACATTGCAAGTGAAATGGACCTTGTGCGATAGTTTCCACCACTCTGCTTCACTATCAGGCGGCACATCAGAGCCAGGGACACCCCGTGCCAGCTGAGGTGACGGCGGCCCGGGGGGCTTGGTCTCTCAGGCATTTGATAAGCGGGCGCTGAAGCCCAGGCCCCTGCACTGCCTGCCCCCCGAGCCCCGCTGAGGCCTTAGCCTGGAGGAGTGTGGAAGGGGCAGGAGGGGAGGGCAGGCAGCCAGGGGTTAGGAAATCTCAGGGAGTGTCCTTGGTTCCCCAGCCCTCAGCTGCTGCCAGGGACCCCAAGTGCAGGCCACTAGGCCCCAGGGGCCTCTGAGCCCCAGACCCACACAGAGCCTGGCAGTGAGTCCAGCCAACAGATGCTTCTCTCCAACAGACTCATTACTGAGGACAAGGAGGGGGGCCTTTTCACTGTGACTCTGTTTCGAAAAGTGATTGAAGATTTCAAAACCAAGGCCAAAGAAAACAAGTAAGTGTCCTCCGGGTTTCGTTCATCTCCTGCTGCGGGGCGTCTCTGCCCCTCAGGAAGGCTTCTGAGTGAAAGCCCATGGTTTGCTTGTTTTAAGGTTCACTGTTCGTGAATTTTACTATGATGAGAAGGAAATTAAAAGGGAAAGGGAGGAGATGGCCAGATTACTGTCCGATAAGAAGCAACAGTATGTGAGTATGTGATTGAGCAGTTCCTCCTGCCCCTACCCAGTGGCCTGGGGATAGAAGAGTCCTCCCAAGTCTCCAGCTCTCCCTCTCATTGTCCCCACCAGGCTCCTGGGCTCACACCACGGGGACCCTCTGTTCTCAGGGGACGCCTGACCAGGGTCTGGGGGGCGGGCGGTGAGCACAAAGGAGCCCAGGCGGGGGAGCGGGGGGCGGGAGCCGGGGGTCCACCCAGCCAGCACTTTCCACACACGCTCTCACTGGTCCCCAGCACCGCCCTGCCAGGAAGGGGTTGCTAACTCCACAGTACGAATGAGAAACTGAGGCTGTGAGAGGCAAGCTGGCCAGATGACCCGCCAGGCCTTCCTGGAACTGAGCGAGGCACGTGGGCTCCAGGCGGGAGCATCTGTGTGCAGGGTGGGCAGTGCCGGGCCTTGGAGATTGCAGCCGTGAGGTTTCCAGGGCGCCACTAGCCCCCGTATTGACCTCCCCTGTGTCCTTAGCACAGAGGGGGTGCTTATCTGGAGACTTCCGACCACAGCCACTCAGAAACCCTTCATGTAGGAGGACAGCTTAGCTCGCCAGGGAGCAAAACTAGATGCTTGCATTTGAAATGTGAGCAGGAGAGCTGTGGGAAGGCCGCCCCGCCGCTCCGTGAAGCGAGCATCTTCCATACTCAGTCCTCCCGCCGCCGTGCTGGGCTCGGCCGGGCAACTTGGAAGGAGCCTGTCTGGGTGGAGTGTTTTTGGGCCCCTTCTTCCCCGTGCCCACCAGGGAGGGTTCTGTGGAGCACCTTCCAGTCCAGCCTCTAGTGACGGGGCGGGAGGAATGAGTAGAATGTTCTTGAGGCCTTTGGGGGGACGTCGCTGTGTGAACACAGCGCTGTGAGGACCTGCGTGGGGAGGAGTGCCATGGCCGCGGGCAGGCAGGGAGTGCCCCCGGGGTCCGTGCCATCAAGTGTGTACTCCGGGCTCCCAGGGGCTTGGCCTCTCTGTCAGCGACCTAGCGACCTCTTCACAGGGACTGGAGATGAGCAGCCCCCCCTCACGAGCAAACCGAGTCACGGAGCCCCCATAGTGGGGTTCTCGGAGCCCTTCTGGTCTGGTCTGTTTCCCTTTAGGAAGGAAACAATAGCTGATAATATAAACGTTTATGTAGGGATTTTTTACCCTCCTTCCCCAAAGCAGAAGCACAGGGCGCTCACACGTGTGTGTGTGCGTGTGTGTGTGTGGACATGTGTGTGCACAGCAAGTGAGACACGCCTCAGAGCCAGAGGCTGCCGGGCTCCAGCTGAGCCTGTGGGGTGGGTGTCCCCTCCTGAGGACAAGGACCTGAGCTGGAGCTGGGGAACCCTGGCCCTTTGGGCGCTCCAGTCCTCAGAGCAGGGCCCACAGACCCAGATACCAGGCAGGAAAGATTTCCCCAGTGAAAGCTGAGCTCCAAAGCATTTCCTTCCTTAGCCTCAGCTCACCTGAAACCCTTGTTACCTGGGCACGCCCTGGCTGTTCTCTTTAGCCAGGCTTTTTCCCAGCTCGATTCAGTCCTGGTCCCGACCCCCTGCACAGTATCTCTGGATGGGGCTAGACCATGGCAGCCTCCACGTTGGGAGGCCCTGCTGGGGACAGGTGGCGAAGCAGGGCCTTTAGCACCCACCTGGGCACTGACCCGGGCCTGCCAGACCCCCAGGGAACAGGGTGACACACAGGAGCCTGCCACCTGCCACATGTGGCTCAGGTTCCCAGCTGGCGTAGTTTACATGGCATAGCCTTTGCCCACACTGCCCTGGGGGCCCTGCCAGGGTCTCTCTGTGGGCGGGAGGTGGAGACACTCTCAACTCGGGTGAGCCCCACTGGCCTCCTGAGGATCTGGCCCCTCTGGCCTATCTAGAAGTGCATGACCAAACGTCTTGCATCCTTTTTGTCACTCGTCAACCAGAGGGACAGGCCAGGCCCTGGGTTTGAGTGTACTTTGAGAGCAAAGTGGGATTTTCCTGTGTTTCCCACCTGTTTGCAGAGACAGAATGGGAAAGGGTGAGTGTCCTAAATGCATGCCCAACTCATCTCCTGCACTGTGCACGCCGAGGTGCCCCCTGAATGCCAGGAAGGCATCTGTGGCTGGGCATGGTGGAGCCACCTTGACAGAGCGCAGACAGCTGTTTCCACTAATGCCTCCCGGTGCTGTCCTGGTCGGCCTGCGATGGGGGTCCTGGCCAAGCCCAAGCAAGGGGACGGGGCTCAGGACTGACCCCTCTGCCAGAGATTGGCTCTGTGCTTGGAATATGGAACCCAAAGGCCTTAACGCTGCCCCTCCCTCTGCCTTCACCACTCCGGGAGCCCGGCGAGCGCCTACCACATCTCTAGTCTAGCCAGCACGCGAGTCTCGAGGGTGGGCCTGAATTCCTGAGCTTGCTCTCGCGTGCCTTTCAGGCGATGAGAATGATTTATTTGTTTGTGATGCATGTTTGCTGAAAGATTAATAAATCATTTCTGTGCCTTTAGCAAACTTCCTGTGTTGCTCTTAAAAAGGGATCATCCACCTTCCCGGACCACAAGGTTAAGGTAACCCTGCTAGGTAACCCTGATAGGCCCGCTGCGGGGCAGACCGACAGAGAGAGAGAGAGTGAGGGCGAGGGTGAGGTAAGCAACGCCCCGGGAACCCCGGGGTCCCTGGCTCGCATCTCCTCGCCAACTCAGGCATCTTCTGGGAAAATGAATCCTTGCATTTTTCTGTTCTCTAACATGGCTTTTGAGGTCTTAAATTTGAGGAGCCAGAATCATGCCTTCCTCCTAATCTGCAGGGCCTCTTTGGAGCTGCCCCCGCCTGGAGTGAAGGGTGCTTGTCGGCCAGGGCGCCTGTCCCCGGGCCCCTGGCTGGAGGTGGCTGGAGCTGGGACGGGCAGGGCCCTGGCTGGGGTGGTGGCAGGCAGCTCAGCTCTCCTCCCTTGGCTGCCCTTGCTGAACCCACCCCTGACCTTTGTGGGCAGTTGCAGTGTCGGGCGGGAGCTCCGAGCTCTTGCTCCCAGACTCTGAGCTCCCAGGAGGACCTGCCACACCAGTATCAGTGGCTGCTGCTGTGGCCACGTGAGGCGGGGCTGTGAGGGGAGGCGCTGCTGTGGTTGATGCCAGGACCCTGGGGGCAGAGCCTCTGAGAAGGTGGACTCCCTGGCTGCGCAGTGTCAGGCAGAAGCCCCTGGCTGCCCGCTGAAAGCCCCGAGGTCAGGGGCTGCCCAGCTCCCCGTGCTGCGGTCTGCGGTGGCCCCATGCATGCACCGGGTGGCTGGCCCGCTGAGCTTCCCTGGCACCAGGCGCCCTGGACCTCGAGGTCCTGAGCCTGACCCAGGGCTGGTCCGACCAACTCTCTGCTTCTGGCTCCTGGGCACTTCTTCTCAGCTCAGGGCGTGCTCTGTCAAAACCCAAGTCCTTTCTTGGCTCTGTGTTGGGCGGGGTGGCCAGGAGGGGTCACCGGGCTCTTCTGTCCTTTCAGGGCCCCCTGCTGCGCTGGCTCAAGGTGAACTTCAGCGAAGCCTTCATTGCCTGGATCCACATCAAGGCCCTCAGAGTGTTTGTGGAGTCCGTGCTGAGGTGCGTGGCAGTGATGCCCCGGCTGGAGCTGTCCTGAGGATGGACAGGGTCTGTGGGAGCTATGGGGGCGCCCCAGCTCCTGCCTTCTCTCCACCCTCCACCCATCTCCTTTCTGTGACTGTGGCAGTTGGCAACATGCTCAGTTCCGAGTCAAATACACCCTCCCTCAGCCCTGCGTCCCCTGCTGTCTGCTCCCGCCGTTCCTGCCACACTTGGGACAAGTGTCATCTGGGTTCTCCCCAGCGCCCTACCCGCATGCCCCTTGTGGACCCTCTGGCTGGCTCCTGTCCCCACCCTCATGAAGCCTGCAGGGTCCCAGTGGCTTCCGGAAAGCGTTCTTGGGCTGCCTCCATCCTCGGCCTGGAAGCCCCACCCCTCAAGGCAGTCCAGAGAGAAAACCAAAACCACACCACCACCAACAGAGCTTATTTTGCCTTTTTTTTTTTTTGAGATGGAGTTTCACTCTTGTTGCCCAGGCTAGAGTGCAATGGCGCATTCCTGGCTCACTGCAACCTCCGCCTCTCGGGTTCAAGAGATTCTCCTGTCTCAGCTTCCCTAGTAGCTGGGATTACAGGAGCCCGCCATCATGCCCAGCTACTTTTTTGTATTTTTAGTAGAGGCAGGGTTTTGCCATGTTGACCAGGTTAGTCTGGAGCTCCTCCTAACCTCAGGTGATCTGCTTGCCTCAGCCTCCCAAAGTACTGGGATTACAGGCGTGAGCCACCATGCCTGGCCTTTGCCTAATTAAAAAAAAAAAAAAAAAAAAAAAAAAAAAAAAAGATAGGCCCTTGTCATGGACTGTGAGACCAGCCTGGCCAACATGGCGAAACCCCACCTCTACTAAAAATAAAAAATTAGCCAGGAGTGGTGGCGTGGGCCTGTAGTACTGGCTACTTGGGAGGCTGAGGTGGGAGGATCACTTGAGCCCGGGAGGCGGAGATGACAGTAAGCTGAGATTGCACCACTGCACTCCAGCCTGGGCAACAAGAGAAACTCTGGCAAAAAAAAAAAAATTGCTTCACTGTGGGAAATCTGGCAACTCTAGGTAAGCAGAGTGAATAAAAATCTCCTGTAATTTTAACACCAGGAGAGAACACTGCCGGCATCCCAGTGGGTGCCCCTTTAGGCGTAGGGTTTGTTGGTTTTTTTATGAATAGATACATGATTCTTACAGATTTTTATGAAAGTGGAATCAGAGAGGAAACACCTTTGAAGGCCACTTTCCTGGCCCGTGTGGCTGCGTCCTGCGTCACGGAGCGCTGCGCCCTGCCTGCTGCTCTGACTCGCAGCCTCCTGGACTCCTCCAGCCCCGGGACCCTCTGTGTGACCTGTGGACCCCTTCCCCGCCTGCACTGAAGAGCTCCTCATCCTTCCCTGCCGTCCCCCTGGCCGATGTCTCCTGCTTTCCCTCGTTTTCCTGCCCATGTTCCCTGGTCTCCAGGTCCTGCCATCCGCCTGCCGTAGGCTTTATCTGGGTATCTGTCTCATCTCCCCTCCCACACCCCTTCCTCTGCTTTCCTGTTTCTGCCAGTGGCCTCCTCATCCTTCCCCTCATCAGACCCCAAACTCCAGGGTCAGTTTGGACACCTCTGACAGGCCCGGTCCACTCTGCCTTTGTACTCTCTCTTCCACGGGTCTGGCCCCACCGGCCTGGCTGTTGCCATAAGCCTCCTCTTTGTTCTTGGCCTCCAATTCACCTTCCATGAGGCTGTCAGTGTGTGGTCTGCCCAGGTACAGATTCTGACCCTGGTTCCTGGTTCTTCTGCCCTGCACATGCACCACCCCCACACCTGCACCCATGCACACCTGTGTATGCCCATCTCAAAAGCCTGTACCAACACAGATGGCAGCATTGGCTTGGAGGGTGTACCTAGCTCCTGGGAGTATTCTAGCCATCTCTAGTATACACAGCCTCACATCAACCCTGCCCAGCTCAGAAGTCAGTTGCTCTCAGTCCTAACACAGTGAAGCCTGTCCATGCCTTCCAGGATGCACATTTGCCCAAGAGAGAGGTCGAGACCGACCTCCTTAATATAGTACTTAGGCTCAATAAAGCGAAGTATTATCCCTAAAAACAGATGCAAAACTAATTCTCAAGCAGTCAAGTTCAGAAGCAGGCACTGTGAGAAGTTCCTGAGTCTCACTGTCCAGAGATAATCGCGGCAAATGGCTTTGGGACACTTGCAACTCCCACAAAAGGGGATTCAATGTTCTGCACCTTGTTTATTCCATTTGCTTTGTGGGATCCTCGCAGATCAATATGAGTAGAGCTACTTGATCCTTTTTAATGGCTTCATCATATACCATTGTATGGGGGTGCCATCATCTAAGGAAACAGATACTGAGCTAACCAGTTCTTCAGAGTAAGCGCAGAGGCAAGGAGGGAGGAGGCAAAGCGCACACGCCCCTGCTGCTTTGGGCTCCTGTCGGTCTGTGCCCCGTTTGGCGCTTGCTGCTATCTTCCTGTCTCAGGAGCCGCTTTCCTTCTGTCCCTGTGCTGAGCACTGAGTCTGGCTTCTCTCTGTACCTCTGCCACCCAGCACAGAGTTGGACAAAGAGTAGACATGAAATGTTTGTTGACTGAATAAAGCCAGTGTGACGCAGGCACAGTCCTTGGTTGAGGAGGTGGGGTTCATCCTCATGGATGACGAATCCCAGCTGCTTAAGTGACCCAAGACGAAAACAGGTGGGGGGTGGGGCAGCGGCGAGGCTGCTGAGCCCCGCCAGGTGGCTGGATCCTTGGGTCTGGTCGGGGGAGATGTTAGGCAATCACCAGCAGCAGGTAAGTGGACGGATCACCCAGGGAGCGTGGCAGCGGGAAACAGTACCACAGGGACACCCAGCATTTAAAGAGCAAGAGGAGGTGGGAGGAGGAAAAGTGAAGGCTGTAGCTGTCCCTGGGATTTGGCTGGTAGGAGGGCATCGGTGCGAGATGCTGGTGGGCAGCGGTTAAAGGAGTGAGTGACAGGCACCAGACTTTCAGATCTGGCTCTCGGGAAGCCCGGCGGCATGAGAGCTGCGTGCAGTGGGCGTTTTTATGTTAGCCAGGTGGGGTGCTGATCAAGGGAAGTGACAGTAGAAGGGCCGAGCCCTACAGCGGAGGGCCAAGGGTGTCTTACCTACAGTCACTTAACATGAACAGCTCCCCACCAAGTGACTGCAGGGAACAGGAGGGGCAGGGCCTTGACAAGGGGAGGGCACAGCATGGGGCGGGGCCTTGGGGAGAATGAGGGGGATGGGCCAGTCGCTCCTGGGGTCCTTTGTTTTTGAGATGGACTCTTGCTGTCGCCCAGGCTGGAGTGCAGTGGCACAGTCTTGTCTCACTGCAACCGCTGCCTCCTGGGTTCAAGCAATTCTGCCTCAGCCTTCCAAGTAGCTGGGATTATAGGCATGTAATTTTTGTAATTTTAGTAGCGATGGGGTTTCACCATGTTGGCCAGGCTGGTCCTGAACTCCTGACCTCAGGTGATCCAGCCTGCCTTGGTCCCCCAGAGTGCTGGGGTTACAGGTGTGAGCCACCGCGCCTGGCATGGGGTCTTGTTCTGGGCGGAATGGAGAAGGCATTATTCGCAGGATGGGTGCTACAGAGACAGGACAGGGCCGGGAAGGGTCGGAAGAGCGCAGAGGCTGAGGAAAGGTTAAGGGCTGGAGTGCATGTCCATTAAGGACCTAGGGTGCCTACCACCCACTACAGCAAGCACAACAGACAGGCTTCTCCCTCAAGCCACGCTGCTGGGGGAGGAGTGCTTTCAGCTTTAAGGGAGGAGTGCTTTCAGCTTTAAGGGAGGAGTGCTTTCAGCTTTAAGGACAGGTCCTAGATGGATAAACAACCTCCAGGACAACTTGGTAATGACTGTGGTAGAATTAGCCTGGTGTGGTGGTGGTGGGTGCCTGTAATCCCAGCTACTTGGGAGGCTGAGGCAGGAGAACAGGTTGAACCTGGGAAGCGGAGGTTGCAGTGAACCAAGATCGCACCATTGCACTCCAGCCTGGGTGACAGAGTGAGACCCCATCTCAAAAAAAAAAAAAAAGTAAAACCTTAGTAATATTAATAGGTCCTGCTCCCAGGATTGATGTATATGGCAGACCCCACTCTGGACAAAGCAGAGCACTAGGTGGGTGAAAGAGCCTGTAAAGATGGAGTTCACATCAAGGCCTAGGGATCCCAAGGGAACACAGGTGCTAACTACTGAACATCCAATCCTTTGCTCCTGAGAGTATAAAAATACTTCAACAATCACAAACTGTTTGCTATTTACAGCACTTGCTGTATTTTTTGTGGGCTAAAACCACAGGAACAGCTCACCCCAACAACTGGTTTTCATGTGCTCAGGTATACAACTGGGTACATTAAAAATGTTTTCTATCTACCCAAGAACTCAGCGAAAATAATAACCACCTTGATAAACCAGATTTTTGCCTCTCCTTCAGTGGAGAGAAATGGCCGAGCTGGGTTTTAGACAAACACCTTGGAGTCCGAATGTTCAGTCCAACTACCCGCATTCAGCTTGAGCACGCGCCATGAACTGTCACTCCTGGCCCGAGGGATGCCCTCTTTGGCTCTACAGTTGAAAACTAGGTATCAGAAGGGGGTTAGCAAATTCTAGAGCTTTTTCTATCCAGAGAGATCACTGCTACCCTAAGCAATTTGCTCGAGTTTGACTTGACGAAGCTGTGTTGGTTGAAGCTTTTCATCTTTGGAATGTACTCGTGTCTTGTCAGGTTCCTTCTATCCGTCTTAGCATTTCTAGTAGTAAACTGACATATTTTGTCTGTCTGAAAAGGTATGGACTTCCAGTCAACTTCCAGGCAGTGCTCCTGCAGCCGCTTAAGAAGTCATCCACCAAGCGTTTAAGAGAGGTTCTAAACTCTGTCTTCCGACATCTGGATGAAGTAGCCGCTACAAGTATACTGGATGTAGGTATCAGGAAACAGCAGTATTTCCACAGTAAGGTCAGCATCTTACTGTAGAATGGGAGATACTTTAAAAAAACTGGTATCTACCCGTAATCCCAACACTTTAGGAGGCAGGCGGATCACTTGAGGTCAAGGGTTATGGTAAGACCCTGTCTCTACTAAAAAAAAATTGGGCCGGGCACGGTGGCTCACGCCTGTAATCCCAGCATTTTGGGAGGTCAAGGCGGGTGGATCATGAAGTCAAGAGATCGAGACCAACCTGGCCAACATGGTGAAACCCCGTCTCTACTAAAAATACAAAAATTAGCTGGGTGTGGTGGTGTGTGCCTGTAGTCCCAGCTACTTGGGAGGTTGAGGCAGGAGAATCGCTTGAACCCAGGAGGCGGAGGTTGCGGTGAGCTGAGATCACACCACTGTACTCTAGCCTAGCAACAGAGCAAGACTCTGTCTCAAAAAAAAACAACAGCAACAAAAAATTAGCCAGGAGTGGTGGTGCATGCCTGTAATCCCAGCTACTTGGGAGTCTGAGGCAGGAAAATTGCTTGAACCCAGGAGGCAGAGGTTGTAGTGAGCTGAGATCATGCCACTGCGCTGCAGCCTGGGTGACAGAGACTGTCTCAGAAACAAAACAAAACAATTTGTTAGCCTGTTATAAAAATCTACATGTCATACACATTAAAGCACAGCAAGGAGAGGGCTGGAGCGGGTGGGCCACAGCTACGCAGAGCAGAATGTACGTCGGTGCCTGGCGAGCTTCCTCAAAAATGAAAGGATAAGACAAGAAACTAGTTTATGCACTTAGAGCATGACCGTGTCTTCTTTTGTAGGCATCTGTGGAGATCCCGGGACTGCAACTCAATAACCAAGACTATTTTCCCTATGTCTACTTCCATATTGACCTTAGTCTTCTCGACTAGAAAGGCCAGCTGGCACCTCTGTCTCGTGTTCGTGCAGACTATTAGACACCTCTTTCCTTTAGCCAGAGAATGGTTCAAATGTCTTACAGAACTAAGATGTTTTTCAGAGAAATTGCTCACAAAAGTTAGTGACAGTTGTATTTATTTTTTTTTAAGTTACAATAAAATGCTCTCAAGTCCTTTGAAGGTTCTAACAAATTCAAAACTTCATTTTTCTGAATGTTTTACATAAATGCGAACTACCTGTTCGCATTGGTAACCTGCTGCTGTATTTCATGTCTTAATGGCTATTCTGAGGTTCATAACAACATAGAAAGCCTTGTACTGTATAACCAGCTAGATTCCTTAATAATTAGTCACTAGAGAAAGCCCAAAGACAAATATTGGGCGGGAAGTCAGTGCTCACTGAGCCCGGTTTCCATGTAAAATAGCTGTTGTGGGGGGCATTGATGGCGCCATCTGAAGCAAAGAGATCTTGTTTTTTGTTTAAAAAAGTTTATGGGGGAGGAAAGACATCTGTGTATCACTTCAAAATATTAATTTACTGCTAAACATCACTCTGAATTTATGATGTAGATACTAATTTCATACATTTATCGGCATTATCCAAAATATTTTATTCTTTAATGGAAAAAGCCATTAATATTCAAATGAAGGAATCACATTAAAAAACCCATACATAAGAAACAGCCTCCAAGAACATTCAAGCAGCAGTCAGAGAGAGGGAAAAATGTTTCGACAGCCGAGTTTTCTTCAAAATATTAATGTGACAGAATACGATACAATTCACCGGCTACAACAATTCATAGAATTTTTCAATGTTTTCTTGAGATGCAAAAGTTCACTGTTGCAGTGTTGTCAAATGACCAATCAAGTACTACTTCTTGGTTAAAAGGCCACTGGGAGAGTCATCTGATTGTAGAGAATGTCCCTTCACTGCTGGAAAAATCCGCTGGCTCCCAAGAAAAGAAAATGGTCTGAAGCCTCTGTTGTGGCTCTCACAACTCATCTTTCCCTAAGTCATCAAGTTCCACATCACTGAGGTCAATGTCATCCTCCACGGGAAGCTGGGGGACAGAAAGCCACTGTTAGATCGGCAGAGGGGACGCCCTGGAAGGTCAACATCTCATTTCACAGAAGAGCAACTCTCCAGAGCTACCCCTGCCTACAACCCAGGTTCTCCTCAGTCTGACTCCTACCCGGACCTTCGCACCTACGATTATACGGAAGGAAAAGCTAACTCCAGTGAAACATTTCGACATCACATCACTCACCACTTTAACACTGGAAGCCATCGAACATGTCCTTTTGAGGAGGGGGGGACACAACAGTGCAGAAATAAGTGCTAATTTCAAAGCTATCATTTTCTGTTTTTCTAAGATAAAGTAAATGAATTCCAGGTTACATGTTCACTTTAAGGTAATAATCAGGAAAGCAACCTGACTACTGGAAAGTGTCTTGGCTCTCAAGAATATCAAATGACATGCAGCATTTAAACTTGTGATAAGGAAGATGAAGGGTCTTCAGAGAAGACCCTCTTAAAAGGCCCACGGGTGCACCAGGGCTGAGGTCTGATGGAGAGGACCTGACTCCAGGTGCAGAGATGCACAGCCTCAAGACAGTAAACCAGGACCGCTGCCTGCACAGCCTCCCTCCCGGACACTCACCTCGCCATCCCTGCCGTCCCAAGGCTCTCTCTCAACGATGGTAGGGAAAGCCCCGCCTCCTACAGGTGCCGTGGAGCCACGCCCAAAAGAGAGCTCCCTTGGGGAAAAATGACCAAAGCACACACACACATTTACTATGGACTACAGGTGCAGATGAATAAACAACTTTAAAAATAACGGTCTGCCTACTTTGTTTACGCAGAGACATTTCTTCTCTCTTGCTGTAGTACATTCCTGAGAAACACCTCGAGAACATTATCTTTTTAATTACGGACAACATTACAACCAGATTCAACATTCCCAACTAAGCCACCTGCATCAGATACAGTCAGTTGCTATCAGTAAGTTTTTAAAAATAGCAGAGCATTTGCTGAAATACAAATTAAGTACATAAATAATTATCAAAGTTGATCCAGAACATGGGCTGCCTGTGAGTTTTGTAAGACTGCTGTGAACCTGTACAGAGGAGGCATGTCAGCAGTGACGCGACTGGTTCCAGTGGGATGGCAGAGAGCGGGGTGCATATGTGTAGAAACATCAGTACTTGAAACATACCAGACCTGGTGTAATCGGGCTGTTGGGAAACCAGAGCTAGAAATACTGTGGGCACAAATATTTAGAGTTCACCAAACAACTCCTAGAATAATGGAGCTAGACTAACAATCTATGGCACCAATGGGCTAGAATAAACAAACCTATTATTAGAAAAAAAAATTACATGATATATTTATATTCACATTCTGACTTCATGATTTAATAAATACTACTCTATGACAATCACAAACTTACGCAGTCCACAAACTTCTTTTTCTTTGAGACCAAGTCACGCTCTGTGGCCCAGGTTGGAGTACAGTGGCGCGATCTCAGCTCACTGCAACCTCCACCTCCTGGGTTCAAGTGATTCTTGTGCCTCAGCCTCCCGAGTAGCTGGGATCGCAGGCCCATGCCACCACACTCAGCTTATTTTTTGTAGTTTTAGTAGGGACGAGGTTTCACCATGGTGGCCAGGCTGGTTTTGAACTCCTGGCCTCAAGTGATCTGCTTGCCTCAGACTCCCAAAGTGCTGGAATTACAGGCGTGAGCCACCACGCCCGGCCCCATAAACTTCTTAATGAAAACACCCCCTTGGCCAGGCGTGGTGGCTCACACCTATAATCCCAGCACTTTGGGAGGCTGACGGGTGGATCACCTGAGGTCAGGAGTTCGAGATCCGCCCGGCCAACCTGGTGAAACCCCATCTCTACTTTACAAAAATTAGGTGGGTGTGGTGGCAGGCGCCTGTAATCCCAGCTACTCGGGAGTCTGAGGCAACAGAATCACTTGAACCTGGGAGGTGGAGGTTGCAGTGAGCCGAGATTGTGCCACTGCTCTCCAGCCCGGGCAACAGAGCGAGAGACTGTCTCAGGAAAAAAAAAATAATAAAATAAAATAAAATACCCATTAAGCATACTAACCAACTATGAGTGAGAGCTGGGAGGGAAGGAGCCACGGTCTACCCCTAGGCAGAGGCTGAAGCAGCTGATCTCGCAGGGTTCCTCCATGCCTCCCACTTCACTAGTCAAGGCAGAGCTGGGACTGAGGTGCCTGACTTTGGAGCTCCCACTCTCCACACAGCACACACACATACTTCTGCGTCAAGTAGGAAGACTGGCAGCAAGAGCACTGCAGGCTTTCACACGCTATTCTTCCTAGTCATTATTCATCACAAGCCTCTCAACTGCCTTTTGTGTGCTGAACATCTCTTACACAGCAGCTAAGAAATGAACACGGAAGAAAGCAAGAATGGCAAGCAAAACCTCTTTAGGTCAATGCCTTGTATTGCCTAAAAGATGATTAGGTGAGTTGAATAGCAGAGCAGGGTAGAGAGCTCTGTATATTTGTTTTAGAGTTTTGAGAACCTATCATGTTGTTTGCACATTGTTGGAGTCACTTAAGAACACCCATTTTCAAATAAATAACTACATTCCAAAGCCAAGTGCCCAGAAATGGAAACCACATTTACCCAAGGTCAAGATTACAATGAATATGAGGGTGAGGATGGACAGACAGGGCTGCCTCTAGCCCATGAAGCCTTTATGAGAATTAGAAAGAGCCCAGGGCCAGATGTACAGAATGGCACACAGGGCGGCCTGAGGGCAGCAATGCATTCTCGTCATCCAGCAAGCAGAGTACTCCAAGGAAAAAGGAACGAATAGGGAGACAATTTAAAAACTCTAAATTCTCTGGAATTAGTTTGCATTTTGAAATCCCATTTATTACCTGGCTTATATATACACCTAGTTTCAAATAAAAAACTACGACAGAACCAAACAAAGAGAAAAAACAATAAACAACCTAAGAAAACAAATTACCTGAGAAATTCGTTAATGCCTTGCTCACTGAAGGAGCCTTTCAGCAGAGCAAATTTCATCTTGCGTGCATTGATGGCGGCCATGGCAGGGTACCCAAACCCGCCAATCCCCAACGCGGTCTCAAGTTCAGACTGGGCTCCGGCTTCTGTCCACAGCCACCTAGAAAACCAGACTGGTTTATAGGGCAAATATGTCTTTTAAATTACTTATGATCTAACTAGAAGATCTTAGAGAACAAAAGATCACGCTTCAGATATTTTGTGGAATGAGTGAGAAATAAATAAAAAACAAAAGATGAGTTTCTATATGGATTTTCCCTTTTACCTGAAATCCCACCAGTATCATTTGGGTTATTAAGCTTGTTCTTGCATTCTGTAGGCATCTAATAAACATTTGCTGGACTAATGGAGGAGGAGCAAGGTCATCGAGAGAGGGACAGCAGGGGGCGCTAGGTACCTGGGGAAAGCTATGGATACTGAGGACGAGAAGCAAAAAGATATATAGGAAGGAGGCAGGGCACGGTGGCTCACCTGAGGTCAGGAGTTTGAGACCAGCTTGACCAATATGGTGAAACCCTGTCTCTACTAAAATTACAAAAATTAGCTGGGCATGATGGTGTGCGCCTGTAGTCCCAGCTACTCAGGAGGCTGAGGCAGGAGGACCGCTTGAACCCGGGAGGCGGAGGTTGCAGTGAGCTGAGATTGCACCACCACACTCCACCCTGGGAGAGAGAGTGAGACTCCATCTCAAAAATAGAAAAAAAGAGAAAATAGGAAGGAGATATACTGTTTTGAAAATGTGCCTAGATCTAGTCCTTACTCAGAAGAGGATAAGGAAACATAATTCTAGTTCCCCTTTCTCATCCAGCCTTCGAGTTCATACTAGAGTTCAGGTGCACTACTCATTCTGTGTCTGCTTGCTAACCCGGCACCCCAATCACCATTTAAAACATGATTCCTATGAGAAAAATGCACGCTGTGCTGACAGCCCTTCATTCCTTCTTTTCCTCCCAGTGATAAAATGTTCACATCCTGAATAAAAACATATAGCAGAGCAGGCCGGGTGTGGTGGCTCACACCTGTAATCCCAGGAGTCTGGGAGGCAGAGGCGGGTGGATCACTTGAGGTCAGGAGTTTGAGACCAGCCTAGCCAACATGGTGAAACCCTGACTCTACTAAAAATACAAAAATTAGCTGGGTGTGGTGGCGCGCGCCTATAATCCCCGCTACTTGGGAGGCTAGGCAGGAGAAAAAAAAAAAATTTTAAGCAGAGCAAACACAGGAACATAGCTTATAAAAACACAGGGGACCCACTCTCAAGAAACCCTATAATCTCCTGTTCAGATGACACTGAGACAATAAGCTCAGTAACTTACCCCCACATTTTCTTTTTGTATTTGTCTGCCATCTTCAGAAGAACTTCCAGATAAGAATTTCGGCCTGCAGCTCCTGATTTAAACAGACAAAAGTTTTTTAAAGGTAAAGGTAAAGAAGTCCATAAAATTAATCCATTTAGGAAGTACTCTCAGAGCATCTAGCATAGAACAGCCAAGGGAAATCATTTGTCTGTCTTACCAGTATCAAGGATATGGGGTAGCACAGCCACAACACAGAGCTGGTGCTCCTCACACGTCCTCTTGGCAATGTCCTCGTTGATAATCTGTGGGACTCAGAAGACAAGGGATGATCAGGAGGCTGCA